ATTTCGTGCTATCTTATAAAACTTCAAAAGCAATACACATTTATAGTAAAATACCACCATATTTGCTAAAATGGGAATTTCTATTTGAATAAGCAAAGAAATTTCTCATCACTCAACCTTTAATTAATATCATACATAATATTGACCAAATACTTAAAATCCAAAGCATAGGTATCACACATTTAATAGGTGACAATATATAGATCAGCATCCAACTCTACAACTGCCAGAAAGAAAAAATTACCTCCTTTCTTACCCAATATGGTAACTGAAAGATTCATAAGGTAAGAAAATACTAGTCATCAACAAGTTTGTTCTTTTTACCATTCCACTTCAAGCTTTCATATCAGGATGTGAAGTTATATTTGTAAAATTTTAAAGACAAAGAAATAAACCCGTTTGGTGAGGCTGAGCTACAAACATAAGAAATCATGAACTGCTATCCTGTGATTCCAGGTTCAATTAACCTAAAATTTTTCAAATCACATATTACAAACTGCCTTCTAAGAAACAATATGTTAGATACAGGAGCCATCAGTTCTGTACTAAGAGATGATAATGCTGAAAAGGCAATATTAAAAGTTTAAATTATAACTGTATTATAAATATTATAAATTTCATCACCCTAAAATTGTAATATACTTGCAAACTCAAGTATCTATACAGAAAGACTCACCTTCATCCACAGAAAACTGACAGCTCTTATCATTGAAGAAAAGTATTTTCTTCTTATCAGGACGATTTACAAATAGTATCTGGTCCCCTAAAGCCTTAAAGATAAAGAAAGATTTTTCAGTTAACTCCAAATTACCTCACCAAAAAAACATTTTTTGCACAACAAAGGACTCTCATTACTTAAAATCCTCAGTGCACCACACCATTAGGGTCCACTGGACCCAATTTTAGTTTCTTTTAATGTTTGAGTTCTTTGAGCAGCTTTTTATTTTTTGTTTTTAAAGAAACAGGCTCTCACTACTTTGCCCAGGCTGGAGTGCAGTGGCTGTTAACAGGTATGATCACAGCACATCACAGTCTCAAACTCTTGGGCTCAAGTGATCCTCCTGCCTCAGCCTCCTTAGTAGCTGGGACTACAGGTACAGGCCACTACACCCAGCCTGTTCTACTATTTCCAAGGATAGTTCAAGGCTTTTATTCTTATAGATCTTCCAAAGAACAAAAATAAAATTTGTTTGTCTTAAAACAACAAAATTCAACCCTTGTTGTGATTACTGAGTCCATTGGACCCTTTTATTAATCTAAGGCACACTGTTAGATCTTAGTGTTCGTTCTTACTTTTCTTCTACCTTGAAATATTTTGCTACTTGCTTGTCATTACCCATCAATTATTTCCAAGGATGCTTTTAAAAAGCTAAAAGTAATATGAAAATGGAAGAGTAATTAAATCACCTAGAAGTGCGATGCAACGGTGAAATAAACAGGCACTTCAGTTTTCTTACTGCATTGCCCAGAGTAGTGAATCATCTTTCAGAAAGAGATAAAAGATTGCAGAGGGTTTTGTTAAGTTTTTACTGAGCACACTTGAAAATTTTGTGTTTTCTACCCTTGAGAGCACAGACAAGACAACTGACAAAAGACATTTCACTATTATTAGATGAATCAGAAGATGAATGCAAAAAGCCAAA